CATGATATTGGTAGGGATGGAGTCGAATTTAGAGCAGATCTCAGTTCATTCTGTCCCTTCAATAGAAAAGGTGTTAGATCTGAATTAGTTCACAGCTCTTGAGATCGTTGCGTAGCATGTGTTGACAAAACTTTTATAATTATAAAATAATACTATATAATATACACTACACAATTTATAATTAAATTAAAATAAAATATATAATTAAAATAAAATAAAATAAATGTTTTATTATATTTTTAATACAAATAATCATCTGTTTTTATAATTAGTATTTTAGAAAATAAAAATATAAAAATATAAAAATATAAAAATATAAAAATATAAAAATATAAAAATAAAAAATTATTTTATAATTTTGTTTCAATGATGATAATAATAATTTTAAAAACTATTATTATTAGTTTATTTTATAATAGTAATATTACTATAAATAAAGAATTAATTTATTTTATTTTAAAAACAAAATAAAAAAATTCTTATGAATAATACATAAGTTACAAACTTATAGATCAATACGAAGGATAGTAAGTGGGGAAAGATCAATAACAGTGGTGAGTAATTGGCCTTGTGACTTGTTGTTTAATTGTTGTTGAGATTGAGAAGAAACATTATCAACTGTTTTCATTGATTTTGATGAAACGGAGAAAGAGGGTGATTGATTCTATGATGTAAAAATAAAAATATTGATTTATTTTTTAATAAAAACTATAAATTTTTTTTTTAAATATCTAAAAAACACACTTACTTAAGATTGACATTTTAATTTGTTTTTATTGTTTAATTCTTTTGATTTGAATGAATAATTAGATTTTTTTTTTTGATATTTATAGGTTTTTTTTAATATAGAAAAATTATTTAATTTATTTTATTTTATTTTAAAAACTGTATTAGACTCGTGGAAGAATTACAACAATTAATTTTAATTTTAATTTTATTGGCCATTTTATAATCTAAAAATGATAAAATTTTAAATTATTCATTTTGAATTACTAATTGATATACAAAAAAAAAAAAAAATTAATTTAATTTAAACACAACAACTCTGAATTTAAAAAATATAAAAAAATTTGGGGGTAAAATATAAATGATATATACTATTTTTATTAATACACATGAATCACACTAACACTAAATTAATATTTAATTAACATTTGTAAAATAAAATATTTATAAATTTTTTAATTTTATTTATAAAAAATGGTTTCCATAATAGAACAATTGATAATAATAAAAAAAAACTAAAAATTATTATTAAAATAATTTTTTTGGAAATCTAATATACATTTTTGTAAAAGAGTTGATTCTTTATTATTTAAATTTTAAATTAAAATAATTTTAGAATTTTCTGGAGGTAGAAAAGCCACCAATTGTATTAGAGCTTTTACTTGGAGTACTATTATTGATGTATCTTGGTGGAGTTAAAAATTTGGAACCACCTTGAGCTTTTAAACCTAAAAAATAAAAATCAATATAAATACTAAAAATATTTTGTTATTTAATAATTTAAAATTTACCTGATCCGAACATTGTTAATAAAGAGAATAAAAAAATATAAATAAAGTGAATATGATAAACTGAATAATTTTATATAAAATTTTAAAAATATATAAAATGCTTTGCAAGATAAAAAATAAAAAAAATAATAATTATAAAAAAAAATAAAATTTTATAAAACTAGATATTATGGAAGATTCTTTTAAAAATATCCCATATTTCTTTATATAAATATCTTTTTTAACCTCCACTATTTGAATTTCAAAGAAAAAAAAATTTTTGATATTTTTTTTGGTTGTCTCATCCGACTCTTTAAGATTAAAAAAAAAAAAAAAAAAAAAAAGAAAAAATAAAAAATAGAAATAATTTATATTGTTGTTATGGATACTAATAATAAAAATAAATAATAATAATTTTGAAAATAAAAATAATTAAAAACTTTTATTTTGTTATTTTATTTTTAACAGAAAAATTGGTGTGGTCTGCTTGTTGGATTAAATGTAGTTTGAGCACCAAGTCTAGCTGAACCTTTTTTAATTGGAACGAACACTAGATATAAAAAATAGATAATAATTAGTATTTTAAAAATTTAAATTTATATACATATATATATTATTTATAAAATTACTTTTTTGATTGAGTTAACTGATAAAAAAAAGAAATAAAATTTATATGTATTGTAATTGATGGTGAAAAAATTTAGTATCAAAAAAAAAAAAAAAAAAAAAGTTTTTTTTCCAAAAATTAAAAAAATCAAAAAAAAATCTGAAAAAAATATAAAAAAATAATATTTTTTTTTTGAAATCATTTAATACCCACTTATGTTGACATTAATTGAAATACAAAAAAAAAATTAATAAAATTTAAACAAAAAAACAAATTTCGTTTTCATCTTCAACCTCAACTTCATCTTCTTCAGTTTCTTCATCTTTTTATTTTTGGTTTCTTCTGAATCTGATTCTAAAACAAAAAAACATTCATCAAAATCTTTTTCTCTATCCCAATATTCATATTTATTATTGCTACAATTGATTTATTTATATCTTTATACTTCCTTATTTGATTACCAATTCCTAATGGTATGTATTCATATTCTATACAATTATAAAAAAAAAAAAATAATAACTATCTATTGCACTTATAAAAACTAATTATTATTTCTTCTTGTAAGGAATTAATCAAAATATGATAATCAAGTAAATTTTAATGATCAACATATCAATGGACCAGATATCAAAATGAAACAAATTTTTGAACAAAATTATAATACCGAACATGGAATATCGACCATGACAATAATCACTATTGAATAATGAACAAATTAAATCAACTAAGAAAGAATTCAAATTTAGAGATTTTCTTTTACGTTTTGGTAATAACGAATTTACAAACAGTCAAGATTAAAATATTAAAAATATTAATGTTCAGCAACTAAATGGAGTATCAAGAAAAAATTGTTTTATGTTCAACCCTTCAAAATAAAGTTTTTTAGAGTGATGCTGGTATATATAATTTATGTGAGAGCCATGGTGTTCGTTTGCATATAAATTGTAATATAAATTACCACAAACCTCATTTAAATTTTAATTATATAATCTATGGTGGTATTTATTATGGGACATCAAATCTCAAATATCACAGAGAAATATTCGATCGTTGTGATTATCAATGATTTATACAGGGAAAATAATATTTCTAAATAAAATAGTTTTTTTTTATACTAAAATTTTTTATAAAAAAAAACATTAAAAAATTAAAATAAAACAGTTTTTACAGTTTTTTTTTAATAAAATTTTCTCAAAATAGTTTTTTTTTTTATTATTTTCTAATTAAATAAAAAAAAGATTTATATTTTTTTTTAATTTTTTTTTTGAGCTTTTAAGGGTAAAAATGGATGAGCTACTATCATCTCTAATTAACTTTCGCATAAATGAAGAGTTAAAAAACAGTGGTAATATTAGTGATAGGTAAGTACCATACAATACAATAAATAATAGATTAATTTAAAAGAGAAAACACCAATTAATATTTAACTATTTATTATAGATTATTATATATAGTTTGGAATAATATATTTTTAAGAAATGAAATTCATGAACATATTTTAAAGTTTATTTCAAATAATGTTGTAAATCTTGATATATCACTTTATAACCAATTTAAAGATAAATCATATATAACAACACTTAAGTGGAATGGCGATACACTACCAGATAAAAATGAATTTCCACCATTTTTGACAAATTTATATTTGCACTCTTATAATATGTTACCAATAACTTTACCAAATAGTCTTACATCACTCACATTCGGTGATAATTTTAACCAAGTAGTTCTACCCGGCATATTACCAAATAGTCTTACAACACTCGTATTCGGTTATAATTTTAATCAAGTAATTCTACCCGACACATTACCAAATAGTCTTACAACACTCGCTTTCAGTGATAGTTTTAACCAAGTAGTTCTACCTGGCACATTACCTAATAGTCTTACAACACTCACACTCGGTTATTTTTTTAACCAAGTAGTTCTACCCGACACATTACCTAATAGTCTTAAAATACTCTCATTTGGTTATGATTTTAACCAAGTAGTTCTACCCGACACATTACCAAATAGTCTTACAACACTCACATTCGGTCGTAGTTTTAACCAAGTAGTTCTACCTGGCACATTTCCCAATAGTCTTACAAATCTCATATTCGGTTATAGTTTTAACCAAGTATATATACCCGGCTTATTACCAAATAGTCTTACAACACTCACATTCGGTTTTTGTTTTAACCAAGTAATTCCACCCGGCTCATTACCAAATAGTCTAACAAAACTCAAATTCGGTTTTGATTTTAACCAAGTAGTTCTACCCGGCACATTACCAAATAGTCTCACAACACTCACATTCGCTCGTAGTTTTAACCAAGTTATTCCACCCGGCACATTGCCAAATAGTCTCACAACACTCACATTCGGTAATGGTTTTGACCATGAAGTTCCACCCGGCACATTACCAAATAGTCTTAAAACACTCACATTCGGTCATGGTTTTAACCAAGTACTTCTACCAGGCACATTACCAAATAGTCTTACAACACTTACATTCGGTTATCGTTTTAACCAAATTTTTCTACCTGGCACGCTACCAAATAGTCTCACAACACTTACATTCGGTTTTAATTTTAACCAAGTAGTTACACCCGGTACATTTCCAAATAGTCTCACAACACTCACATTCGGTGATGGATTTAACCAAGTAGTTCCACCCAACACATTACCAAATAGTCTCACTACACTCACATTCGGTCATGGTTTTGACCAAGTACTTCTATCAGGCATATTACCAAATAGTCTTACAACACTCACATTCGGTTATCGTTTTAACCAAATTGTTCTACCTGGCACGCTACCAAATAGTCTCACAACACTTACATTCGGTTTTTGTTTTAACCAAGTAGTTACACCGGGCACATTACCAAATAATCTCACAACACTTACATTCGGTTCTAAATTTAAACCAAGTATTTCCACCCAGCTCATTTCCAAATAGTCTCAAAATACTCACAAAGCTTTAACAAATAAATTTTTACCTAATATATTATGTAGATTTTGTTTTTAGCACGTGATCACCCATGAACCACAACTTTGAAATATTCCCAAATTTCCCCGAATCCATAGTTAAAGAATTTGATCATAAATTAAAAATAGTAAAGTCCAATGGAAACTACAAAATTTTGGAATACAAGGCTTCTGAGTTACACGGCTGTGGTCATCGTAATATTATTGCTGCCAAAAATATTGCAATAATTACAAAAGACAAAAGTAATGTTTTTTGTCTAGATTTTACAATTAAATCCTTTTCTCGTGGTTATAATGATCCAGATGAAGAAAACTTTAATATTCTTCAAGAAAACTCAATTAACAATACATGTAATAATATAGATAATAATATTTTTATTTATTGTTTTGGAACAATTAGTTTTTCCTTTAATTTTTAATTAATTTAATAATAATAATAAAATATAAATGATATTTTAATGGCACCATCAATTAATGCTGCAAATGGAGAATGGTTTTTTTTGTTGAGTTTTTTGATCGTTATTATTACTAACTTCGATTGTTTCAGTGCAATTTATTAATTGAGTTGTTAAATCTAAAAAAGAGGAATTTACATTAATATTATCTTTTGATGATGTTTCATAAAACAAAGCATTTATTGAATTTGCAAATTCTCTAGCTTGATCTGTATCTACACATTTCTTATAATTATCTTTATTTCTTAAATCTGATTTTGTACCAATTACCAATATTTGTGGAATGTTGTTTTTAAGACCATATCCTGGATTAAGAGAGGACTTTGAGCTTGGTACATCTTTGTTATCGAGTCTAAATTTTTTATAGTGTTCATACCAATGTTGTTTAATTGAAGTAAATGATTCTATATTTATGATATCGTAAATAAACACTATACCATGTATATTTCTAAAGTATGCTTGAGATCGTCTAAAACTTTCGCAACCAATTGAAAGGTCCCAAATTCGCAATTTAATATACTCTTCATTTATTATTAAATTTTTTACTTTAAAATCTACATAACCAGAAGTATCTCCGAAATCCCCATCAACATATCTATTTAGAACTTGTGTTTTACCTGCTCCATTATCTCCTCTCATTAATATTGTATATAAATATTTTGGTTTTTCTAAATAAATACTATTATTTTTATTATTCATTTTCATTCGGTATTATCTTTTTTTCATTTGTTAACTTTTTTAAATTTATTTTTATTGAAAAAATATTTTTTTTTTATTATTATAAATATTTTAGGAGAATTTGAAAAAAAAAAAATTTGAGAAAAATTCATAAAAAAAATAAAAAAATTTTATTTAATTTTAATTATATTTTATTTCTTTTATGGTTAAAGGTATTGATTTTGAATGTGTATAACCAACAGGTAAAGTTAAAATGGTAACTGATGGTGGTAATAAATCTAGAGGTTGGTTGAATTCACCAGAAAAATCTATATTTTCAACCAAACTTGGGATACCTATTAATGGTTGGTTAAATTGAGGACCAAACCTTAGCGATTTTAATTGAAGCGGTAAAACGTTATCCAATATTGGATGGTTATAAACTGAACCAAATGAAAGATTTGTTATTGAATCTGGAAGAATATTTTTTTTAAATGGTTTATTAAATCCACAACCTATATTGAATACCTTTAGTGTACTTGGAAGCGATGAATTTGTAATTTCTGTATTAAAGAATTTCCCCAGTGTTAACTCTTCAAGTTTCTTTGGTAAACACCCATCCAATGTTTGATTAAATTGATCACCAAAGTGCAGACTTGTTAGTGAGTCTGGTAATGATTCGAAAGGTACTAGCGCTTGATTAAATTTCATGCCAAATCTGAGCTTTCTAAGAGAGTTTGGAAGTGATCTTTTTACCAACTTTTGATTAAACGATTTCCCTAGAGTTAGTTCTGTTACTGATGAGGGAATATCCAAAGGACCTAAAATTTTGTCAAAGTCTTCTCCAAACGATAAAACAGTCAATGTGGCAGGCAAGCAACCATTTAGTGGTTGATTGAATCGATCATTAAATTTGAATGTTGTAAGTGGCGGCAATACTCCTGGGGATATTGGTAGATTGAAGTCAAGAGAAAGTGTTAAATTCTGTACAGTTGATGGAATGCTTCCAATTGATAATATTTGATTAAAACATACACCAAAACTTAAGGAAGTAAGTGCTTTATCTGGTAATGCTCCAGGCTCTATTTCTTCATCAAAGCTATACCCAAGCTTTAGTTGCTCTAAAAGATCCGGAAGAGTCCCCTTTTCTATTTTTTGATCGAAAAATAAACCTAAACAAAGCTTTCTTACAGAACTAGGTATGACATTATATCCAATGGGTTGGTTGAAGCCTTCTCCAAATTTAAGAGAGCGTAGTTTTGACGGTAAAACCCCAGGCTCTAAAGATTGATTAAAGAAATCCCCTATAACTAGTTTCTCTATTGAATCCGGTAATACATTAATTCCTATTAATTTGTCAAAATTTTCTCTCACAACCAATTTTTTAATTGAGTTTGGTAGAATACCAATTCTATCTAATGATCCATTAAAACTTTCTCCAAGAACTAAAGTGCTAACTGAATGTGGTATTATCCCTATATCTAACTCCTCATATGTATCATATATTAAATTAATAATATATGGTCTATATTTATGGTCAATTAAATCTTCTCTATTGCATATTGTAACATTCCAATATTTATTATATAAACTTAAATGAAAAAATAATAAGTTTTTTAAATAAATATTCCTAAATATTATTAAAAACAAATCATTATTATTATTATTATTTATATTATCGCTATTACTATTACTAATATTATTTATTTCTTTTTTTAATTCGTTCAAACTACTATTATTCATTTATTATAACAATAATTTAATTAAAAAAAAAAATAAAAAATTAAATTTAAAAAATAAAAAAATGAGAAAAAAAAATTAAAAATAATAAAATAAAAAAATAAAATAAAATAAAAGGGGTTAATTGTGATTTTAACTATTAAACTAAAATAATGAAAAAAAAAAAAATCTTTATAATATTATAAATTATTTAGATATATTAAAATTCTTAATATATCCAAACAAATATTTTTTTATTTTACAATTTTTTTTATTAAAAAAAACTATATTTTAAAACAGGAACTCTTCAAAAAAAAAAAAAAAACCATTATCACAAACTTTTTTTTTTCTTTTTGTTTCCATATTACATATGTCTATTATTCTAAACTTCTGATTGAAGCTTTTTTATAATTATTATTATTATTATTATTATTATTATTGTTAATACCTATAAAATCTTGAAAAGATTGAGGTGTAATTTCAATATCACGATAGCTTGAAGGGTCTGTATCAATTTCTTCTAATCTTTCTAAAACTTGTTCCATTGAAGGTCTGTGATTTGGATTTTCGCTGATACAATCTATAATAAGTTGAATATATTTTGGAGGGCCTACTCTTGGAATAGGTGGTCTTAAACCTTCACGACCAACTGCAAAAATAACTTGGAATGGTGGAATACCTGCATATGGATCTTGTCGAGTTGCACATTCCCATAAAATAATACCAAAACTGTAAACATCAGCTTTGTCAGTGTATCTTTGACCTCTTAAAATTTCTGGACTTGTCCAATTTGGTGTACCACAACTTGTCATGGTTTGTGCTTTTTGTTCGATTGCGCTAAGACCAAAATCTGCTACTTTGACTTTCCAATTTTCCTCCACTAATAAATTGTGAGATTTTAAGTCACGATGTAAAATTACTGGATTTGAACCATGTAAATAAATAATACCTTTAGCTGCATCTGTCATCATTCTTTTGACTAATTCCCATGGCAATCTAATTGAAGGGTCATGTAATACTGAATAAAGTGATCCTCTTGGCATATATTCAGTACAAATACAAATATCGGGTGGTATAGTGCATGATCCTAAAAACTGAATAACATTTGGGTGTCTTAAATTCCTATAATAAATAATAAAAAAATAAAACATTAATATTTTTTGTTAAAATATTTTAAATAAAATTTTATAAACACATACTTCATTAATTCGATTTCTCTGTGGAACTCTTTCAATACATTTTCGTTGATATTATGGGCTGGTAATTTTTTGACAGCAACTTTTGAACCTCTCCATATACCCAAATAAACTTCACCAAAATTACCTTTACCGATACGTTTACCTACTTTAATTTGATGAATGTCAATATCTTTACCATCTTTAATTCTAACATAACCTGCTTTCTTTTTATTTAAACATTTTCTAGATATTAAATAAATAATCAATGCTACAAAAAGAACACCTGCAACACTTGGTAGAGTAATAATAATGATTTTCTTTTCTTCTGGTGAAAGTCCTGTGTGATTAGTTGGTGCAGGGGTTGGTGTTGGTGTGGGAGTTGGTGTTGGTGTTGGGGATGGGGTTGGTGTAGGTGGAATATAATAGAAAATAATTTCCAACTCGGAAATGCAAAGTCTACTTTCGGTTACAGAGACTGATAGTGTATTTGGACCTGTAGAATTATATCCCAACATACTAAATGAATTGTATGGTACAGTATGAGTATTAAAACATGCATTGCAATCACATTGATCTGAAAAGTTGGTTGAATAAACTGCTGCCTCTACATTTTGAATTGAAAATGTTACATGAGTTGAATGAAACAATGGTAAACATCCAACTACCCCATAAATAATAAATTGTACACCAGTAACAAATGGAATCATATCGACTGGTATAGTGTTTTCAAAGTATTGTAAGGTCCAGTTACCTAATGTTTTATGATTATAATCTTGACTACATGCATATTCCTTTGGGTAGAAAAAATCGCCAGTGCAATCTGTTTTAGTTTTGTTACAACTATATCCGCCCTAATTAAATCAAAAAGAAATTAATTAAAATTATTTTAATTAATTTAAATTATTTAATTAATCTATAAATAAATTTATTAGTAAACTTACAAATGGGACTTTTACTGAGGCTTTTGAACTACCTTTTGGTGGAGTATGAGCGCTGGATGAACTTGATGAACCTGATGAATCTGATGAACCTGATGATCCTGAGTATGATCCTGAAGTTTCTTGACTTTCAGATGATTCATTGCTATGTGATCCGCTTGTTGTTGTTGATGCTGTTGATGTTGATGCTGTTGATGTTGATGCTGATGTGGTTGTTGGTGGTGGTGTTGATGTTGAGCCTGAACCACCCGCTGTTGATGCTGTTGTAGTTACACCATTAGTAGTTACACCATTAGTAGTTGTTGTTGTAGCCGATGCTGTACCAGAAGTTGATGCTGTAGTATTTTGATCGCTACCATTTAATGTAAACTTGATTTTATTATTATTATTATTATTATTATTGTTATTATTATTATTATTAATTTGTAATGATATATTTATAAATAAAACTAAAATGAATAGTATCACTATTATCGATGTTGATTTAAATTTTAATTTCATTTTTTTTTTTTTTTAATTTAAATTTAAATTAAATTTTAAATATAATATTTATATACCATTTGGGTAAAAGCCTAAAATTTTGAAAAATAAATGATATATTTATATTAATCCAAAAAAAAAAATAAAAAATAAAATAAAAAAAAAAGAAAAAAAGAAAAAAAAAGGTTAAAACCTAAAAAAACAAAATTAAAAAAAAAAAAATAAAAAAAAAAAAAAATAAAAAAACAAAAAAAAAAAAAAAAATTAAAATAAAGAATTTAGAAAATTCTTTAAACAACTTTTAAATATCTATTTTTTATTTTTTTATACTCTATTTTTATTTTTATTTTAATTTTATAAAAAAATAAAACGTGTGGTTTTTTTATCTAACGACGGTTTTTGTCATTGTACAAACAAATTTTAAAATATCTTTGGTGTTTTGTTAATAATCTACTATTCTCATAATTACCCTATGAATTTTTTTTTTATTTATTTTATTTTATTTTGTTATATAAAATGTAAAATAATAATATAGTAAAGAAAAAATAGAATAAAGAAATAAAAAAGTTTATTTTATTGATATAGGAGGTATTTTCAATTATAATGTAAACTAGGCAATCGTTTTAATACTATGAAATGCCTTAAAATCTCATTAATTGTTGGAAAAATCTTTGCAGCTTTTTATTTTGGTATGTTGGAATGGTAATAATTTTGATTTTTGTTAAATTCAATTAAAAATATATAACATTAAAACTATTACTTCAAAAAATAAAACTTTAATATTTTAATATTATAAAAAAATAATATTTTATTGTCAACTTGTTTATTTTTATTTTTTTTTTAGTTTTAGATTTATTTATTATTATTATATTTTTTTTATTTTTAATTATATTTATTTTTAATTTATATTTATTTTTTATTATTTTATTTATGAATGATATTTGATGAATTCTTCATAGTTTCTTAATTGATATTCAATTCTTGAAAACTCTACCATTATTTTTTTAAAATTTGAGAGTTTAATACCACTAGCGACATTTCTATTTTTGTCAATTACATCTTTAATTTTTATTTTTGTGCCAAAGCTTCTAAATGATTCTATTTCCTTTTTGTTGATCGAAATTATTTTATTGTAATCAAATTTAATATAGAATAAAAAAAATGAATGCAATAAATCGTAAATGTTGAGATTGGATTTAACCAAAGTTTTGTAAAAATAAATTGCCATAATAGTTAGTGCATGGGATGAAAAATAACCCTGAGAGGCATCTTTAATATTTGCCTTTTCTGTGTAATGTTTAACCAATAAAATCAATGATTTTAAATTTTCTTTTCCTTTTAATATTGATATAAAGAATTCTGAACTTGGGTGTGAATTTCCAATTTTAAAGCTAAGGTCAAATTTAACAAGATTGATTTTATCACTAAATCTAATAATTGGTATTTTGGCATCTGGTCTTATTTCTAAAATCTCATAGCTTGGATTGCTTTTTAATTTTTGTAATACCTTATCGTAGATATCAGCGCCATTGAGGAGGGCAACGTCGATATCACTATCGGGACTTGATAAACCAATAACATAAGAGCCATATTTACTTAATTTTTTATTTGACAATTGTTTTTTTAAAAAGGTTTTTAAAATATTGAAGCTATATTCCTTTCTATGTAAGCTTTGGCTATTTTCCTTCAAGGTATTTGCTTTTAATTCTAAATATTTGATAAATCGACAGTCGAGTAAATTTGGCACAATTAAGAGTTTAATATAAGTTTCTACCAAAATTTTACTTACTTTATCATTTGAGACTATTTGATAAAAATTTTTTGGATCCTTTTTAACTAAATCTAAAAATATTTTTTCATCATCCTGTAAATTCTTTGGGCTATAGTCTTCTTCATTTTCTTCATCATTTATACTCTCTCCTAATAAATCATCAGAGTAAATAGATGTAATTCTTTCTATAATTTTTTGAATAGGTCCCATAATGTTTGAAGAATTTATTTTAAAAATTGGAGCTTGGAAATCATTTATTTGAGGAGTTAAGTTGACTTTATTGAAAAACTTATTACTTATTATAGTATCAAGGTTGAATCGATATTGGGTCTTATAAAGGAATACATTAATGTCTGAATAGGTTCTTAAAAGATTTTTTTGATAGGTTTTATTAAAAAACACAATAAACATGAGTCTTACAAAGTTTAAAAATAAAACTGGGTGTCGGATTTTAAAACTGGGATAAAGTTGGAAAATTCTTGGGATTGAATTATTTAAACCATTTAAACTCCTCTGTTTTATTAGGCCGAAAATTTTCGAAATTTCTATAATTTCGGATAAATATTGACTTTTTTCTTTGGACAGCACTGCTAGATTATGGGTAATTCTTAATTTTGATAAATTTGGATTATCAATTATTTGATCGAAAATAATTGTTAAAGCATTACCGTCATGATCATTTTGATATTTCGAACCAATGGAGGGATCTTCTTTATTTGAATTTTGTAGTTTTTTTAAAGATTTTGAATTTGACATTTTTTTTAAAATTATTCCTTTAAAAAAAATGATATAGAGAAAAAGAAAAAGAAAAATAAAAAAATTTTAATTTTTTTTTTAAAAATATTTTTTTTAAAAAAAAAATGTTGATATAAAATTGATATATAGAAAAAAAAGAAAAGAAAAAAAATTAAAAATTTTTTTTTAATGGAAAATTAAAAAAATCGTTACTTCACAGTGAAGATCTTCACTTTTAAAAAAAAAGGTCACAGATTAAAATTAATATAAATATACTTATTTAAAAAACACTCTAAACACATCCATACAATTAGATCAAAACTATCCACTTTTACAAACCAGAAAATACATTGATCAACTCCCAAACCTTACTTAAAAATTTATAAACCACTACAATCACTCCCTCTTACTTCTTAAAATTTTATTAAATAAAATACTATCTTACACTAATAATATAAATTATATTATTTATTAGATTTTTTAAAAAAAAAAACCTTTAAATTAAAAAAAAACAAAATAAATAAAAAATACTGATATTATTTGTATATTGCACGAGATACAAAAAAACAAAAAATAAAAAAAACAAAAATAATTGTTATTATAATATTAAATATTTATTAATTTCATTATTAATTATTTTTATATATTTTTTATTATAGTTGAGCAATATTTTGGATTGTAATTTAATTTAATTCTACATCTGGGAAAATGTACTTTATTAATTCTACAGTACCCAAACCAGCAGCGGCACCAATGACACCAAATATAACAGTTAAAAATCCACTTTTATACCATGCGGTTTCAGTTGATTTGGCCTAGTATTGTTAAAGAAAATTAGTACATTTGATTTGGGTTATATTTTTTTTATTTTTATTTTTATTTTGTTACTTACTTTAAATATACCAATTAAAAATAAAGTAAAACAGGTGATACCAATAACAATTAAAAATAAATATAGATGATCATTTGAAGGTATTTTGGCAGCATAAGAGATGATTAAGAAAATTAAATAAGGTAGTAATGGGAGAGTACCAAAGAAAACAAATGAAATGAAATTTACTAAACCATTTTTCCAAGCAGATTGGGATTCAGAATCTGGCATAATACCCAATTCCTCAACCATCATAACATCAACAAAACCTTTTGGATTCAATGAGAGAATTTCTACTACCTCTTTAGCAACATCCTCTGGTATTCCTTTATTTGTGTAGATTTCAATCATTTCTTTCTTTTCACCATCTAAATAATATTCAACTTCCCAAGCTTCTCTTCTACGTTCACCTTTTGCGAAATCTATATCAGCTTGTGTACCCAAATAATCACCAACACCCATTGAAATTGCACCAGCAACCAATTTCGATAATACAATGATTAATAATACTGAAATCTTTGAATCAGAACTTGAAAATGATACTGCAATTGATACAAAAATACTAACCAAACCATCCATACCACCATAAATAATACTCTTTAAATATTTTGATATGTGATCTTTAATTGTTTTCTTTTTTTGTGCTTTGGGTGGTTTTCTAACAATTGGTTTTAATAATAATTTAATATGATCATCATCATCATTATTATTATTGTTATTGTTGCTATTATTATTATTATTATTATTATTACTATTACTATTTTCATTATTATTCTCTTCGTTATTATTATCATTATTCTCTTCGTCATTGTTAATACTATTTTCGTCATCACTATTATTTTTGTTTATTTCTTCATTATTGTTATCTTTTTTTTCTTTAATTGGTTTAATTTTATTATCACCCACATCTTCATCCTTCAAGTTTGTATATTTTGACATTTTTCTTGTGTGTTAAATTATTATAATGATTGGTATTATGATTTTTGAATGTAAATATATTTTTAATATACCAAGGATTTCTCCAAAGAAAATTTTATAATTTTATTTAAAAATATAAAAAAAATCTTTTTTCATATTAAAAAAAAAAAATTTATAAAGAAAAAAATAAAAAAATAAATAAAAAAAAAATAAATAAAAAAAACGAAAAAAAAAAAAAAAAATAATTATAAATTAAATTAAATTTGTTGCTTAATGATCTTTTTTTTTTTAAATTTAAATAATTATTATCTTTAGAAATACAATAAATTATTTAATTAATACTATAATTAAATAATTAATTTTTTATTTATAATTTTTTATTTTTATATTTTTTATTGGGTGGGGTGGTTATTGGTTATATGTTTTTTTTTTTATTTTTTATTTTTTTAATTACTGATTGATTGACGTGGTTCTAATCTTAAACTAATAGAATGTAATTCTTTTTCATCTAATAAATTTTGAGAAATATTTCTGAGATATAATTTAATTGGTTCTGAAGCTTTGATATTGAATAATGGTTGTTGATAAGATTGAATTCTTTTAATTGTGCCATATAGTAAACGGAATTTTTCAGTATTGATTAATTTGTTTGAAGTAAAAGTATCATTTCCTTCTTCGATAGCAATTAAATCTTTGGTGAATACTCCTAAATATGGAATAATTTTAGCTTTGGTTGTTTTAATTTCTTCACGATAGTTTTTATAGTTCATACTGAGATCGAAAAGTGATTCCAAACGGTCATAATCTTGGTTAACTTTATTTGTTATTTTTTCCCAAGTTAATTTAAGACGAGATACAGCTGAGTTATTTAAACCACAAAGAATAGCATTGGCAGCACTATAATTACCCATTTCTACACAATTTTTACCTAAATCAATAAAGAATGATAAACATGCAACTCTATCTACCAATTTTTCTTTTGAAAGAATTTCAGCGGATGTCCAACGAGCCCATTCATTAAACTTGCAAACCATATCGTGATATTGAGGTGATAAATGTAATTTAGTGAAATGACCATGTAAAAATTGGGTTGGTGGAATTGCCATTAACATTTCATTATCAATTAAAGTGATTTGTTGGGCAATGATTGTGGCGCCAAGGGTGTAGATATCGATATCTATATTGCCATTTTCCTTGTTTTTACTCATCATCTTTTCAATGAGATGATTCTTCTTTTTACCAGCGCTTGATTGTTGGAGATTTGGACCAACAAAACTATTACCACGTTCGTATAGTGGTTTTAATGGTTCGATATTTGGTTTAAAGAGTGTTTGGAAATAGGAGAAATAAGTGTTGTGAGATGGTGGTACTTGTGGGAATTGGTCAATGAATGATTTGAGTTTTTGAAGGAATGCTAAATCGGTGATTAATTGGTTTTGTTGAATTTTCATCCAAAACATTGCTACTGATAAGGTTGTAATTGACATTTCCATTTGAAGCTTTGGTGTTAATGTTAAAGAAATACGGTAGTAGTAAATAAATTTATCTAAAAGACCAACTGATGTAGTATAGTAGTCGTAGGTATGGAAAATTGTATAGTTATAGTCAGCATCTTTGAATCCATAAGATAAATCAAATAATTTCTCTACTAAACGGTCAAATGAAGCGGCTTTAACAATTGATTCACCATCTTTAACCATATATTGGATATCTTGTGGTCTACTTTCAAGTTGTTCAATATTTAATACGAGGAATTTAAAAGCTTTAGAGGCTTGGTCATAAGTAGCAACGGTAGCATCCATGAAAACTCTAGAGAATTTATTGTAGATTTGATCCATTACTTGTTCGTTGGTAGTCGAATCTGAATATTTCTTTAAAAATTGTAACACTATTTTCAATATATTTCTATTTTGTTTTGGTAACATGAATAAAAGTGAATGAACTACATTGAAACGATACTCTTCATGATTGATATCTGTTGAGTGAATTAACTGTGGTGAAATTTTACTGAGAAGTAAAGTTGGTAATTTACTGAAATAATAAAGGAAAACTGATGCAATAACTGATGGTTCTTTACATTGACTAAAATCTGTAATTAATGTATTTTCGATTAACTCTATTAATGTTTTGACTTTAACTTCTGAAACATCAGAATTAAATACTCTTTCATCTGATGAGTTATTTAATAAATATTCAATTGATTTATTTAAATAATCCATTAATCTATCTGAAGTATCTTCTGCTAATGCAACTCCAAAAATTGATTCTAAAAAAATAAATCATTTATTAATATAAGAAATTTTAAATATCAAATTTAAAATTAAAAGATAATTTATACATACCAGCTTTAATAATATTTCTAAATACTAATTCATTTTTTGAAGCTCTTTGATTTAATTTTTCACTTAATTGTAATTGAGCATCTTTAATACCAGCTTTCTTTTTACTTGACATTCTACCAATAGTAAGAGTTCTAATTTTTTCCATTGCATCTGGTTTTGAAATTGGAACATTTGATGATGTGATTGGTGGGGAGCTTGATGGTGGGGTATTTGAATCCACCGAGGTACATAATGAAACTGGGACATTATCTTTTAGAGAGAGTGCACCACTAATATTCGAAGAGCTTTGGCTAACAAAACTTAATTTGGCTGCTGAAGATGGTTGGTTAAATTCGTCGTCGTCACAGTCCTTTGATAATGATTTGGATCTCATTCTGGTGATCTTTTGGTTTTTCATTTCTTCAATGTTACCATCGTAGATTTCGTGAAAAATGTTTTTAACTTTTTCGCTTGTAGTTGATTGATCATCATCATCGTCATCAAAGCTGGTTGTTGTGCCATAGTGAGCAGACATTCTTTTTGCGGTGTTTCTTCTTAAAGTGACTGATGATAAATATGAGGTTTTGGATTTACCATTTTCATTAAATGCTACATTCTTTTTTGAAGGTGAATCGCTGCCAAACGAAGCAAGGCTGTTTTGGGTTGTTGATTGTGATAGTTGTGTAGTTGGTTGATCGTTGCCGCCTTTACTTTTCTTTAAATTTGATTTCTTTTCAGAGATTGAACCATTTTCAAATTCTGAGTTGGTTTCAGCTGAATCATCGTCAGTATCGATATCTGGAGCAGTTGCACTATTTGTATTTTCTCTTTCAATTTGTTTAAGTTCTTTTTCTTTTTCTTTTTGTAGTTTTAAAATTTCTTTTTGTCTTTGTTTCTCTTTTTCTTTTTCTTTTTGGACCTCTTTTTCTTTTTCCCTCATCTCTCTTTCACGTTCTTTTTGTAACTCCTTCTCTTTTTCCTTTTCTAATTTTCTCAATGTTTTTTTTCTATCTGGATTCAATAATTCATTTTCAGCTCTTAAAATATGAATTTCCTCCATCAATTGCCTATTTCTATTTTCTAATGATTGAACTTTCTTTTCCAATGTTTCCATTCTGACAATGAATGAATTGATTCTTTGATCTTCTCTTTCTTCCTTATAACGAGAGATTTCATTTTCTTCTTTTTCTAATTGTTCTTTTTCTTCTTGAATAAAATTTAAATAGCTTCTTGGTGGTAATGGAGGTGGTGTATTTGGGCTAACTGTTGGTGATGGTGGTGTAGTGGTTGATGCTGATGGTGATGGTGGGAACTCTACACCTTCTGGTGGCATAGTTGAATATCTTTTAAGACGAGCTTCTGAAACTCTTAAACGTACCTCTAATTCTTTTGTGTGTGATTCCAAGTCCTTTCTCATTGAGGATTCATTTGTTAATTTACCAGTAACTTCTTCAAGATCTTTAGCTAGTACTCTTGTATAAAATTCTAAATTTACTAGTCTATCAAAATCGGATTTATTAATTTTACTTTTTAATTTGCTTAAATTCAATTCCTCTGGGTCGAATGGTAAAGCTGAATCAACTGATGTACCTGTTAATGGTGGTGTATTTTGAGTTGGTGTTGTTGAACCTGAAGAATCATCATCATTCACTATATTTGTATTATTATTTGAAGTTGAGTTTACAGATTGTAAGGTTGGTGAAGCTTTTTTTGGTGCCATTAAATTTGGTTTATTAATATTTCCTGTTGTCGATGAGTTTTGAGAATTTAATGATGGTGATTTACTATTACTACCTGATAATTGAGCATTTTGTAATGAGTTCGATTTGGTTTGAGCTGATAATTTAACATTATTTGATTTAATTGGAATTGCTGGGGTGGTTGTTGGTGAAGTACTATTTGGAGGAGTAGTCGATGAATTTGAAATAAATGATTTTTTTGGTGTACCAGTGGCTGGTGTTGATGATTGACTTCCACCTGTTATACCAATAGTTGATTTAGATTTTGAAGGTGTACTGGTTAAAACTGGTGAATTTGCTGGTGGAGTTTTAATATTATTTTGATTACTACTATTTACAGGTGTTGTTACATTATTATTATTATTTTGTGGTGGTTGTTGTTGGGTATTTAATTCTTCTTCTGTACCCATCTCTTCATTCTTATTAGACCAAAAATCAAGTGAAAATATATTTAATGGATTTTTTAAACTTTTTCTGTTGTTCATTCGGTTGGGTAAAGTTGATGATATATTAGAATTACCAACTTGTTTGTTAACTGAAGATCCTGCTGAAATAGTAGCGGATTCAATTGGAGGGGATGTTGTAGTTGGTGATGATGCAGATGGTGTTGTCGATGTTGGTGATTTTTTTCCTAAACTAAAAATTGATTTCTTTACAGGAGAGTTAGTACCAGAGCTAATAGTAGCAGGTTGTGGTTTTGTATTATTTGTGTTTGTGGAGTTTAGTTTTGGTGAAGAAATTGGTGAGGATAAAGGTGGTGTTGTTACAGCCTCCTTTTCTTTCCAATATTGGAATGAACTAGACGAAACAGATGATGAAATTTTAACAGGTGGTGATGACGATGACATTAATGACGATTGTGAATGTGATGTTGTGATGTTTATCGATGATTTTGATTTAATACCACTTGCAACACCACCTCTAGGTGATTGTGGTGATGGCGGTGAGGTATTATTTATTCTATTATTTCCTCCAATCGAAATACTTGAATTGGATTTGCCCGAACTTTTGGTAGTTGTGGACATAATTTAGAATATATATAAAAAAAAATAAAAAAAACAATATTATATTTTTCACCACAATTACTAATATACAACAAATATTGTTATTATAAAACAAAAAAAAAAAAAAAAATTATTATGTTTTGAAATATGAAAATATTGCTATGATTGTAGAGTTTATTTATTTTATTAATACAACAATTTATTTTATGTTTTATTTAACTATTAATTAATTGATTAATGATTGGATTCTTTATTTTAAAATATAATTTTACAACAATTGTGATGGAATGTGTGTTTTTCTTTTTTTTTTTTTAAAAATAAACTTAAAATATTTTATTTTTTTTTTATTTTATTTTTTTTTTATTTTTTTTAGATTGTGTTAATAGAAAACCTGATTGTTACACACAAGGTGGGTGATTGTGTTTATTATAATAGAACAAAAAAAAAAAAAAAAAAAACAGCACAAAAGATTGTGCCTTTTTATTTTAAAATAAAAAAAAATAAAAAAAAAAAATTGAAAAAAAATAAAAAAAAAAAAAAATTTAAAAAAAAACAAAATTTTATGATAATTTTTTTGATTGCATAACGATGATTTTTATTTGTCTTTATATCCTTAAATAAAAATTATTTTTTGATAATATGATTGATACAACAATGATAATTTAGATTTTGTGTATAAGAAATTTTTTTTTTTTTTTACAAGAATATAATTTCGACTTACATTTTTTTTAAAAATACAATTTTTTACACCAAGTTTTTAAATAAATATTATTATTTTTATTGATATTTATATTTAAATGAATGAATATAAAGCTATATATATTTTTTTATTTATTTTAATAATGGAAAATAAAACAAAAAAAAAAAAGAAAATGAAAAATTAAAAAATAAATAAATAAAATTTCGAATTATTTAAAAATTATTGTATTACTATTTTACTATTTTACTATTTTACTATTATACTATATTGCTATATTACTATATTACTATTATACTATTTTGCTATTGTTGTTATAATAGTGTATGTGGGTTTGGGGGTCACTATTATTATTTTTAATATTATTACTATTATTATTATATAAACACTTATTTTATATATTATAGTCTATAAATAGATTTATTAAGTATTATATTTATATTTTATTAACTAAAATTACAATTAAAAAAAAAACAAGTATTTTAAAAAAAAAAAAAAAAATCATAAAAAAAAAAAAAAAAAAAAAAAAAAAATTCATAAAAAAAATTTTAAAAAATAAAAATAAAAATAAAAAAAACTAAAATTTTTTTTATTTTTTAACTATTTAAATGAATGATTATTTTACCACATTTCCCCCATTTAAATATAAAACTAAACCCACATTTTAATTCACACTTATTAATAAATTAACTTTTTATGGTGTCTATTTGGATTATGAAAGTTCAATAGTGATAATGCATGGTTATGTTTATATTAGAAATATATCATTTTTGTTATTTATAATAAATGTTGTTTTTAATTATTGTTATAAAATATTAATTTTGAAAAAGATTATTTTTTTTTTTTTATAAATGTCAAGCATACAGTGAAAAAAAAATAAATATAATGGGTTAAAAATAATAATTTTTGAATCTTTTCTAATAAGATATATCTTTTATGATTTTTTTTTTATTATTACAATTGTTTTATTATATTTTATTGTTAAAATTACATGTGATTTGATTTAATGTTTTTTTTTTTTAAATTAAATATTTTTCATAATAATGATGTGTTGGTTTAGTTTTACATGAGACTGATAACTCAACAAACCAATGCCTTCTATAATGATAGTTTTGACAAACACGGATGGTACCTGAAATGGATGTCTTTTCATCTTGATTGTTGATGTGTTTTTCGACAGGATGCAAAAACAAAACTTGTTTCCAGTGAGTATCGCCATCACCTGGAGCTGTTGAGAGTTCTAATGTATTTGATTTTAATTCAAAGAATTTAGGGGTTAATCCTTTATCCATTTGGTCATGTTTATAATCTTTGGCAACCAATTCACCCTCTTTGTTGATTACGTAGTAGATGAAATCATCTTTTTCTAATGTTGATGGTCTATCAGCCAAATTATTATCTAAATTTTCGAACCATATTGAAAACCATGCTGCAAATCCATGAAACTTTCCATTTGGTATCTTAAAATCGAAATTCGATACTGTCTTGCTAAGGTCCTTAATTGTGATTTTATTCAAATCTAATACTCTTAATGTAATTGGTTTATCTAATACTGCAGTTGAGTTTTCAATATAATAGTTTCTAATTGTTTTATTTTCTAATAATTCTTCCCTAGCCATTGGTCTTTATTTGTAGTTATGATGGTATTATCAGGGATGGTTAGTATGGATTTTGGTTATTAGTTGTTTAAACAATACTATTTAGTACTTACACTAAACATGACATATCCAAACCAAAAACATTTTCCCATTGATTAATATGTTTTTCATAGTATGATTCAACATTAACTGGTCCAAAATATAATGCTGCTTTTGAAGGAAATAGGACACCACCAGGCTTTAATAAATGATCACGAGCATAGATAACAGACTCCAACATTGATTCAAAAATTAGAAAACTACCGATCCATTCGCTAACTATAATATCAACATATTCTGGGAATGCTATATGTTCTAATTTACCCTTCATTACCTTGACAATATCTCCTAAACCATTTCTTTCGACTACCAATTCAGCATTATATGCCATATCGGAAGCATCGACTGCATAAACCCTCTTGGCACCAGCTTTTGCACAAAAACAACTAAGAATACCAGTACCACATCCAACATCTAAAACAACTTTATCTTTAAAAAAATCTTTACTTTTTGAAATTGCATGAAAATATACTGCTGTTCTTCTTTTATCAAATACCATTTCATGGTGGATGGACTAAAGTAAATTATTGGTTAGTATATATATATTATCTTATTCTATATTAATAATTAATATTTTTTTCGTTTTTTGATATGTTATATAGTGTTTATTTACCATTTTGGAATAGCTTGAAAAATATTCAACATCTTCATAGGTATCTTGAACACCTTCAGTATGTGCAGATGCATAATAGTTGCTGTTAGGATCTACCCATTCTGCTTGCTCAAAATTTGTTTTTCCTGGTTCTTCTTGGATTTGCTCTTGTACAAAATCTGGTGGAGGTGGCAGTTCATAGTAAACATCGTTGGTTATCTCGTTGTTACCTTCATTACCTTGGTCACCAATTTCACCAACTATTGATAATATAGTATCTTTAGTTTTGGAAACTTCACCTGAAACCATTTTCATTATTTCTTCTTTTAGTTTTGAATATTCATCCATTGCTACTATATGTTTTGTAACAGTAAAAAAAAAAATAAAAAGATTTTTTTTTTTTTTTTTAAAAAATAAAAAAAAAAATTAAAAAAAAAAAAAAAAAAAAAAAAAAATTTTTTTTTTATGATAATAAATAATATTTCCATGTATGGATACTTATCAGTATTTATATTTAGGAAATAAATGTTTTTTTAATAATATGATGAAGTGGAGTGTTTAAGCTTCATAAAAATTATAGATTCTTTCTTTACAAGAATAGATCTATCTGTTCTTTATATTTGAATATGGTGCCTTCTTCCCTGTTGATCAAATACAGGTTTTTCGACTGATATAGTTTAATCATATGATGAAAGTGGGTCGATTTGATAGGTTAAATATTACAATTTCCCTTATTTTTTATTATTTATATTTAAATGCTTTTAAAATAAAAATAATATTGTAATTAAATAACATTGTTTTTTTTTATCTTTTTTTTTATTAGTTTTGCAATAAGATTGTAATTTATTTAATTTAAAATTTTATTTTTTTGGAATTAAAAAAAATTTGGTACCAAAATTTTTTTTAAAATTTTAAATTTAAAAAAAAAAAAATTCCTTTAAATTTTTAAATTAAAATTTTTTTTTTTTTTTATAAATTATTATTATAATATTTTATTTATTTATATTTTATAATAATGAAAAAGGATAAAAAAGATGTTTTATCTTTTGATAGTGACAGCGAAGATGAACAATTTTTAAAAAATTATAATAAAATATCAAAAGATGTGCATAATAAAAAAAAAATAAAAACAGAAATATCAAATATAGATAATAAAAATATCAACAATATTAATTCAACACAGCTTCCATCAACTCCCTCAAAAACACCTACCAAGTCACCAAAAAAACCCTTGTTAGTCATAGAGGAGGATGATGATGATGATGGTGATGATAGTTTTTTAAATAATAATAGTAATACTAATCTTAATAATAATAATATCAATGTAAATAATAATAACAATAGTGAAGATAATGTAAATAATACAGATAGCCATTTAAATAACCATTATAATGATGATATAAACTATGAAATAATTAACGATGATAGTAATAATAATAATAATAATAATATATATAATAAAAATGAATACTTAAATTACATCTATCTTAGTGATAGTGAAGAGGAAAGTGTTGCTTTTGATAGCAGTGAAGAGGAGGAAGAAGAAGATTTAAAAAAGAAAGCGCTTGATGATTTAAGATCCCAGTTATCAGCTTACAGAGACCGTCATAAACAAGAATCACAAAGATTAAAAGAAATTGAAGATGAAAAGGAAGAAAAGAAAAGAAAAAGAAAAAGAAAAGTATCAACGACTAAAACCACTACAACTACAACAAACACAAATATCAATACCCAAACACCAAAAATAGTTAAGGATTTACCTGCAACTTCATTTTATTTAAATAAAATTTGTAAACCAGCTGCAAATAATATTAATTCAAATACATATAATGGCCCATGGATCAATACCTTATCATTTAGCGATCTAATTTCAAAACCTGGAATGAAGTTTGCAATTGTAACAGGCTATTCAATTGATATCAAATGGGTAATGAATAGTTTCGAGAGATCCCAAGGTACAAAAATTCCAATTACATTTATTAGAGATTACGATCAAAAGAAACATAAACCTGGCCCTCATCCAATACCGTTTTCAAACTGTACTATTATTCATCCAGTATTATCAGGTGATCAAATATTTCATGCAAAGTTACTTGTTTTAGTGTATGATACTTGGATTAGAATTGCTGTAACAAGTGCAAATCCTTCTTCTTATGAATATAGTAATTTATCTCAAAGTATTTGGTATCAAGATTTTTACAATTTTAATAATAATAATAATAGTAGTCAATTTCAATCACCGTTAGCTCGAGTAAATAAAACTACAACAACCAGTACTTATAATACACCAGTTAAAAATCCATCATTACCATCATCTCCATATTCATCACCATCATATAAATTTAATAATACACAAACAACAAATAAAAATATATCAAAATCGTTACCAGCATCACCAGCATCACCATCATCAAAGCAGCCATATTCACCATACAGGGACTATTCTTCACAACCATCAACACCAACATCATCGCCTTATAGAGTCGGTAATAGCTCAAATGTTTCATCGCCAATTAAAGATTTTGATTTACAAGATTTTTCATTTAAAACAACATTAAAATATTTTTTGCAATCATCAGGATATAAAAATGTACAGTTTTTAGATCAGTTTGATTTTTCAACATCAAAAGCTCAGTTGATAATATCGATACCTGGCGAATATAAACATACATCAAATAAAATGGGCTTAGAGAGATTAAGATATCATGTAAACAATTATTATAAAACTCAGGAAAACAATACAGTATATGGTGATGATGTAAAGAGCCAATCTATTCAAAAGATTTTTTATTATCAATCATCATCAGTTGGTTTATCAACTTTTTTTAAACAGGCTTTTGTTTCAAATTTCAAAGTAAACAATAACATTACAACAATCAATACATTTCACACTATGAATAGTAATAATAATAATAATGGTAAAGATAAATCATTTCATATCATCTATCCAACTGCCAGATGGGTTAAAGAAACTCAGGCTAAACAGAAATTAGGCAAGGTTTTATCATTGGCTTATGATATTTACGATATAAACAAATATGACTTTTCTTATTTTCAAATTAAACATGGTTATAGAAAAAATACCGTTAGTCACAGTAAAATTATTGTTGGTGTGAGTCAAAATAGTCTCAAAAATAAAGAATTAAAATATGATTGGTGTTATAGTGGTAGTCATAATATTTCATCTGCAGCATGGGGTTCACCATCAAGTAGAACATCCGACTTATCAATCTTGAATTATGAAATGGGAATTTTGTTATTAAATGATTCGCCCTCATTAAATAATACCTCAATTCCATCCTGGGTTAATAATGTTCCATTTCAAATTCCTGCACCAAGCTACCATTATCAAGAAAAGCCATATATTAGTACAGGAACAGTCAATAAAAGCTATTTTAAAAAAAATAGATAAATTGCAAATAATAATGTATAAAATTTTAATTAAGTTTAAAATTTGAAAAAAATAAATAAATTAAGATATAAAAAAAATAAAATTCTTTTATAAATTAAATGAATTAGCTTTATTTAAGGTAATTTAATAATGAAAGTGAATGTGAGATTGTATTCATATGGTTTTGATTTGAGGTTGGTAATGGTTGGGCATTGTTACAAATTGATGGGAGATTAAAATATGATGGGTTTGCTTTTGGTACGTAGTTATAGAAATTAATTAAAGAGGAACCTGGGTTACCATTGTTATTTACAGAATTACCTGATACCAAGGAGCAGTCTTGTTCATTAACCAAAACTGTAATAGAGGTAATATCTTGATTTTCTTGGTTTACGACTTCATAGACACCACATTCGAGAGTACCAATAGTATTGGTGCCAATTTTATTTATTTGTGGGATTTGGTTAATTGGGATAACAAAAGATAAAGCTGATTTATAGCAAGTTCCTTCGTTGATGATAAATAAGGTAGAGGTTCCTTCAAAACCATAAATCTGACTTGAAGATTGGTAAGTACCTGTAAAACTAACAGATAGTTCAGAAGAATCTACAAAGACAATACCGTTTTCGATATCTACACTAAGAGTACCATTGGTAACACCTGTATAACCAAAAACACCGTTGTCATTTCTAATATTGCTATTGGTGTCGGATGAAATGAATTCGAGTGTTGCACCTGAAAAACCAGTCTGAACAAAACAGTTTTGACTTTTAGCGCAATTAAATAAAATTGTAATAATTAATAGTAATAATAATTTCATTTTTAAAATTTAAAAAAAAAAAAGAGTGGGTAATAAAAAATAAAAAGAAAATGGTTTATAAAAAAAAAAAAAAATTTTTTTAAAAATCTTGGAATTAGAAATTTTTTAGGTATTTTTACAATAATATCTTTTTTTCTTTGATATTTTCTTTTGATTCGTTTGTGTGAAAAATAATTGATACAAAAAACAATTTTTTTATTAAAAAAAAAAGTTTATAAACAATTTTTAAATTATTTATTTATTTTTATTTCTTTTTACTTTTAGCTTTCTTTCACTATCAACTTTATTTCTTTTTACCTTTACCTTTTCCAGCTTTTGGATTTGGAATATAGTACATTGGTTTATCACTTTCCTTCAAATCTAAAATGAATTTAATTGGTGTGACTGATACAAATCCTTCTTTTGTTGTTGGTTCAGTTAAATTTTTAGCAAAAATATTGTATCCTATACCTGGAATATGTGCAATATTTTGAGTTCTTTCACGATAATAATTGAGATGCTCTGCTAAATCACGTGGAGTTGTAAAACGAAGACATCTTGCTTTGGCTTTGTATTGTTTTGCTAATGATAAATATTCTGCACGTGTATTAATATCGTAATTTGTGTTATCTATAATACATGATTTACCCTGTGAAAGAGCTTCTTTTGCAGCTTTAATACATTTGTCTTTTGTTTTCAAAGTATCTTGATTGATTATAACATAATTGGCAGGACCAAAATACTTTTTAGCGAATGTTGATTTACCGGAAGCTGGGAAGCCAACAGAGATTACAATTTCAAAGTCGTCTGAAGTAATTGATTTAACATCGAATGGAACACCAGTAGTTTCTGCTTTTGGAATTAAATCTGAAATGGCGTCACCACCACTAGCGCTCTTGAAATGTTCCTCACCAAGGAAATGAGTCTCTGGAGTTTCGAAACGAATACCTGAAGATAAAGCAAAACCAAAATCACTACTACTGAAATCTTCTTTTTTACCAGCTTTCCAACCTGTGGGACGACCAGCAGCATCACCGCAGTAGAATGATTCGCTTTCATTGATTATAACCTTACCATCTGTAAGCTCACGAAGCTTTAACCACATTTTATTGCTTGGTTTTCTATTTGCATCATCGGCACATGCAGCAATAGCAACGAGTGGGAAACCCAATTCTTTTTCCAAGATGCAAATCTTTTTGGTGATGCTATTATATTTAGATTGGTCAAATTTGGATCCTCCACCGATACCACCTTGGTTGGTAATTATAATAACTTGGTAGCCATCTTTATATAATTTTCTTAAATTATTTGGTACACTTGGGTCCCACCATACCCAATCATTACAGTCTGTTGCAAAAACTCTACCTGATTTGGTTTCTATTAATGTGCTATCCATATCAAAGCCTGCAATTTTTGATCTATTAATTTCTTCACCAACATAAAATGTAATTGTACCATCTCTGACCCATTGCTTAAGTTCGTAATCATTTTGAGGAAATGGACCAACTAACTTATCTGCACCATTAGAAGCTGATTTAGTAGTTTTGGTAGTTGTAGTGGCAGAAGCAGAGGCTGTTGAAGCAGTGGCAGTATCATTATCATCTTCTTCTTCTTCTTCTTTTTCTTCAACTTTTTCTTTTTTTATCTCAGTTTTTTGTTTTTTATTGCTAACTTCTTTTTCTTCTTTTTCTTCCTCAGTATCGCTTTCATCTCTTGTTGTTCTTTTACCAGTAAATTTAGTAGAAACTTCTTTTTCTTCTTTTTTATTAGAAACCTCACCTTTTTCAAAAAACTCGACTAATCTTTCTACAATTTCATCTCTTTTGCCATTTGCTTTAATGTCATGAGATTTTGCAAGTTTTCTTATATCTAAATATGACATTTCTTCTATTTCTTTTCTTGATTTGGTTGTATTTGACTTTTTTGGAGGCATTTTTTTTTTCTTTTTTAGTATTAAAATATTACCAATATAAATATTATTGTCTTGTTATTATACCTTATTACTTAAATAATTATTGAAATAAGTTGAAAAAATATTGATTTTAATAAAAAAAAAAAAAAAAAATTGTGTTTTTTAAAAAAAAATTTTTTTAAAAATTTTGGTTTTTTAAGAAAAACAATTTGGCTAAGAAATATTTTGATAAGATCCTCGTTAATTCCCTAATTTTCAAGAAAAAGATAGTGTTTGTTGTTGTTTAATTAAATATTAAATAATAGTAATTTTAAATATAAATTTTAATTTAATATTTACCTGAAAAAAATATATTGAATTAATAAAAAAAAAAAAAAAAACAAAAAAGTTTAACTGTTGAAAAATTAAAACAGATATTTTTTATTGTATTTAAAAATAAGTTTAAATCTTTTTTTTCTTTTTTTTTTATTGATATTTTATTATTTTACAAATTTCTTGATATTATTGCTGTGGTGTTTTCAACAAAAAAAATAAATATTTGGTATACTATACTATTACTATTATTGTTATTATTATTATTATTATTACTTTTATTAAGCATTGTTGTTGTTATTGGTATGATTGTTATTATTATTATTGCTTTGGATATTACTATTTATAATGCTTTGGCTTGCTAGTTTATTTGTTGTTTCTCTTTAAATAAAAATAAAAAAATTAAAATTTATTATTTAAATAATGAATGGTTATTTAATAAGTTTAATAATACAAACATATTTTTACAAATTGAGTTTAATGTTTGAGTAAGTTTTGTTAAATCTTCCTCTCTTTCTTTAATCGAGTCATATACATTAATGTCAATATCTTCTTTACCAATATTCTCTATATCATGCACTTTGATACGTTCAGAACCAATTGAAACTTGTTTCATTGATAGTTGAGCTTGAAGTTTTCTTATCTCTTGAAAATCCTTTAAAATTTTTTGTTGATTTAAACCAAATGCTCTCATTTCGCCCGATTGGAATCTATCGTTTATTTTCTTTAATTCTTCATCTAAAAACAGTATGCTGCTATCATCCATTTTTATTTTATTATTATTTTATGTATATTAAATATTTAATATTTAAATATTATAATATTACTATTATATTATATTTATTATAATAATTATACTGGATCTATAAAAAAAAAAATTTTAAATAAAATTAAATAAACTTTTTATTTTTTTTAAATTTTTTTTTATTTTTTTTTTTTTATTTATTTTTATTTTCTTTTTTTAAAATAAAATTTATTATTTTTTTTTTTTATTTTTTTTTTTTTTTTGAACATCTTTGAACTTAATAATGAAATCGAATAATGAAAATAATAATAATAATAAAACAATAAAAAATAATATAGAACAACCACAAAATGGAAAGAAAATATTTGCACCCAATATACCAAATAAAATGAAAAGAAAAACAGAAAATATAATATTTACACCCGAAATGGTATTAAATCCAACAAAGAGCGAATTAAAAAATAGAGAACAACCAAAATTACAAGAGGTGTCAACATCACCACCACAGTACCATTATAGTAGTTCACCACCACCACTAATAACCAACGAATCAAAAAATATAGTTAAACCAGTTATTTTGAAAATTAAAAGAAAAATTGACGATGATGCATTACCTTCTATTTTAATTGAAAGACCAAAGAAAAAAGCATTTTTAGATACATTCAAAGATTTTGGTATTGATGATAAGGATGATAAATTAATTTCCGAAATAACACCCGCTTCTCCACCAAAAAAAGAGGAAATAAAAGAAGAAATTAAAACCCCACCTATTAAAGATAAAAAATTATTTACTTTAGTTACAACATTGGATGACCCAACTGCAAATAGCAATAAGTTGCTTTCAAAATTCCAACAAAGATTAGAACAATTTAATAACAAAGGTGTTATTTCCTCTCCAAAGCAATTAGAATCGAAAAAAGAAAGAACAAATGTATGCATTTTATACAACACTATTTATTTTATTTATTTTGTTTTATTTAAATTCTAATATTCTAATTGTCATATATTTTAGAAAAAGAGAAAAGAATCTAGATATAAACAAATTAATATTAATAGAAATTTATTATCAAAAGAAGAAAGAGAATTATTTCAAAATCATGATATTATCGAACTAGAAAGAACTATTATCGACCATGATAATATATTAAACTCTGCTTTGTCAAAAGAAGAGGAGGCATTAATTTCAGATTATAGATCAATGTTAGAAGAACATTTCAACAGCGCAAGTGTACCAGCAACAATGTCAAGTGAAACTAAATATGTATACGATTATTATTATTTTGACCCAACTATTGATCAACATATGCTTGATCAAGCCGACCCAGATTCAATCGAAACTGTTGAGTTACCTCCAGAAGATGACTTTTACGATATTTTAGATGGTTGCGATTCTGACGAATCAAGTGTCGACTCTGAAAATTGGTATAGAGAATATCCCTCAAGCGAAGATGATCAAGATGATGGTTACGATGATTTCGATAATTATCACAGATCAAATAGAATTGTAAATAGCGATGAAGATGACTATGAATACGATGAATATGATGGAGATTTTTATAATCAAGATGATTATGATGATAATATATAAACATCTCATTAATCAACCATAAAATAATAATAAATATATTAAAATTTTATTTAATTAAAATTAAATAAAATACTTTTAAAAACATTTTCAATTTTTTTTATGTTTAGTGGGAATGTTAAATGAACATTTCTCCCTCATTTTTTGACCACCTAAGACAATAACTTCGCATAAACCGATTAAACTTAAAAATATTAAAGGAAACCAAATTCAATTAATTTTTTATTTTGAAAATTAAAAATTATTTTTTTATTTTTTTTAATTTTTTAAATATTTTTTTTTACATTTAATTATTTATTATTTTTTTTTTTTAATTTAAAAAAATATCATAATAATAAGAATAAAAATAATGGAAGAATCAGATAATCAACATACCAATACAACTTTGACTACAACTACAACTACAACTACAACAACTACAGATACACCCATACCACCTCCACCACCTCCAGTAACTAATACAATAACAACAAATAAAAAAGGAAAAGTTAAAGAAGAGTTCTTTAAACTTGACATTATCGATTTAAAAAACAAAGATAATGAAATAATAATTAATGACAATATTTTATTTATACCTGCAAAACCAGTGGTTTATGTACCATTATCAATAGTTTTTAATAATAATACATTAATAAAAAAAAAACATATTTCAGAATGTAAATGGACTGTAGGAGATCATGATGTCACATCAAAGCTAGATATATCAGAAAAGGCAATTACTTATACTCCAACAAGAGACCAAGCCAATATGGATTTGAAAATTCATATGAAACTATCACCTACTATCACTCACGAAAAAGAAAGCCATGGAAATTTTATTTCAAAGTTATTTAAATCCTCTTCTTCTGGCTCTGTAGAAGAGATCATAATAAACTATACTCATAAAATATTATTCGAAAATAGTAGAGAAACATTAAAAATCAAAGAGTCTTCAAATAAAGAAAATCAATTCAAAATCATTACATTTAACATTTTAGCTGATCTATATGTATCAGACCACTATTACAGCTATTTACCACCATATGCATTAAAATGGAACACTTATAGAAGCCATTTATTAATTCCACAGATTTTACAATATGACGCTGATGTTGCCTGTATGCAAGAAGTAGATACAATGTATGTCCAGCTATTTTCAGAAATGAATAAAAAAGGATACCAGCATTTCCCAGAATACCTCGATTCAAAAACAAATACACCAATGCAACTCAAATATAGAGAAGGATGTTTTATATTTTTTAAAAAGAGTAGATTTAATTTTATTAAAGGTTTACCAATTGACTATAGAACTATTGAACAAGGAAATTTAATAGATACTGAAACTGTTTCAAAACTAATGACTGACCAAATATTTAAACTTGTAATTGGTACTCACTTACATGATTCATCTCATCATGTAAGACATTGTTTGGTATTGGTTGAAGATAAAGTTACAAAAGAAAAAATGATATTTGTTTCAATTCATGTAAGTAATAAAATAAATATATATTGTATATACATAAACATATATTAACATATTATTTTATTATTATAGTTATATTGGGGTAGTTATTCAGTTTACCAAATTCAATGTGTACAAATTCATTTATTTTCATTAATTTTAAGAAAGTTTATTAAAGATAATAAATTAGATATAAACATACCAATAATTATATGTGGAGATTTTAATAGCTCCCCAGATAGTAGTGTATATCAATATCTTACAACAGGTTCAATGTCTAATGATGACCCAAATTTAACAAATAGTGGTCAATATCCAACTGCATCATTTTCAAATACTGATACAGATAATAATAGTGACGAATCTAATGATATAAACTCTATTTCACATCCATTCAAATTGACAAGTGCATATGGTCTAAGACCTGATGGTGAACCTAAATTCACAACAACTACAAGTATGTATAAAAATATAAATACATCATATATAATTTTAGACTTTAAGACCCTTATAATTATTAACAATTTTTTTTTTTTTTGTATTATTTTTTAAAGAGGCATTTTGTGGTAATATTGATCAAATATATGTTTCGGATAGATTTAAAGTTAACACTTTATTAGAAGTTGGCGAAAAACAAGATTATAATATTTTACCATCCTTATCATTAGCATCAGATCATATTTTATTAATGTCAGAGGTGGAGTTAAACTCAAAATAAATAATAAAATTATAAATAAACTTTAAATAATAATAAAATTTTAAAAAAAAGATATTTAATTTTTATTTAGGGTTATATTATATGTGTGTGGGTAAATATTATTTATTATAAAAAAAATAAAAAAAAAATTAAAGTTTTTTCTTTTTATATCATATAAAATGATTTTACTTTATTTAGAATTAGTGAGTAGTGCTCTAGATTTTCAATGTGTGTTTAAAAAATAACTTCATTTATTAATTTATAGAAATGAACTTTTTTTTTTATTTTTTTTTTTTTAATCCAACACCACATTTTAAACCTTTTATATATGAGTGTTAGTTTTATTTTAAAAAAATAATATTTTTATATTTAAAAAAAAAAAAAAGATATACAAATTTGTGTTTAAACAATGTTAATTGATTTAAATAGATAATCTTAAATCAAAATAAAAAAACAAAAAAAAAATAGAAAAGTAAATAAACAATATACAATACATAATAATTTAAAAACACTCCAATATTGCCTTTTTAAAAAATAAAAGAGAAAACGTTTTTTTAAAATAAACTTTAAAATCGAATTTACTCTAAATATAATTGGAATATCTTTTTTTTTTGATAGTTTTTTCATTATTATATTTTTTTATTGGTTGGGATAAAATATATTTTATTTTAATTTTTTATTTTTTTTTTATTATTTTTTTTATGTATTTTTTTTTTTATAAATAAAATTTTTTTTTTTTTTTAAATAAAAAATAAATTATTAAGATTTAAAATTTATATATTTAAGTTTATAAATAGTAAAAAATAAAATAATAAAATTTATAAAGAAATTGATAAAAAAAAAAAATGAAATTTATATTTTTTATACTTTTAATTTTATTTATAAATTATAAT